CATTAGTGTTCAAAACTGTTCTTGAAATGGTCTCTAAATTCAGGTGGGATATATCTAGGTTGCATTTTGTCTCTTTATGAACTTGTTTTAATATTCTTCAGCTTCAGCGTGAACGTGCATAAACAGTTGGTGATCTATTTCTTTCACAGAGATCCCTAACCTTGATCTGACTAATGATAGTGTACTTCTCCTTCTTTGGAATAGGGACAAATATGGATCTCTTCCAGTCAGTTGACCAGGTAGCTGTCCTTGAAATTTCCTGGCATAGATGAATGATTCTTCCATGGGGTCAGCAGGTCAAGCCCATTAGCTTCTCCAAAGGAGAAAAACGAGGCTTTCTGCTTATTACAGCATCAGAAACCTGAAGGGGCAGTTCTACTCTGTCTTATAGGATGGCTGAGTCAGAATCTACTCAGTGACATTAAGTTTTGCTTTCTTCACATGTGTTTTTAATGCCATACCACAACTTTTCTGGTCTGTGGTCATTAGTATTTATTGTGTCCCATCTGTTCTTGAGACAGACTTTAAATTCAGGTGTGATACACTCAAAGTCATATTTTGACCTTTGGACTTGCTTTTCATCGGTTTACACCAAAACTTGCATATATGAGCACTGATGATCTGTTCCCTCATCGGCCCCTGGCTGTGCTTTGCCTGATGACACTGAATTTCTCCATTGTCTCTTCCCACAAATGTAATCAGCTTGATTCCTGTATATTGCAGCTGTTGAGGTCTCTGTATTGTAAAAAGTCCTCGTAACGAAGAAGTCATTGGTCTTGCAAAGTTCTACAGTGCTATCCCCAGCTTTGTTTCTTTCAGTGAGGCAGTGTTCTCAGCCAGTTCTTCCTCTTTCGTTCTCATTTTCTCCTCCCAATTGCAATAACTACAGATGCATTTTTATTACACACATGATTGATTTCAGACTGAAGAAGTTGGTAGATTTCTTCAAGTTCTTTATCACTGGCTTTTTGTGACTAATAATTGTATTAACTGATCATCTTGTATGTATATAGATAATATTCTATCACAGTTTTGTACTTCAGGATATATCTTGAAAAGTTCTTTTTGATGATGAATGTGACACCATTTCTCTTGAATCTGTTATTCCCATCAGAGTAAGCCATATACGATTGTCTGATTCATAATAGCCAATACCACTCCATTTCAGCTCCCTATTGCCTAGGATATTGATCTTGAAGCTTCCCAGTTCATTTAAGTGACTTCCAATTTTCCTGGCTTCATAGTTCGTGCATTCCATTCCCCACTGCTCTGTCCTTATTCTGGAAGCTCTGCGGAAACATCTTCCGCATGGGTAACCCGGCTCGTGTTTGAAATCCTGTGGCATAACTCCGGCACCACAGTCTTACAAAGCAGCAGAGGAAAGTAGGCAGTGAATATCAGCCAGTATCATAAAATGTACCTGCTCGGTGAGCTCCAGGGCCCCAGGAAGATGACTCTGCTTTCAAAAGCAGAAGAGAGAAGTCTAATACTGAATACATGCAGTGTTGTTTAAGAGTCCTTCCTTGTTTACTCATGTCTTTTTTAACCTTTAGTGTTCTCGGACTTCTTGATTTTTGTGAAGTCAAAGGTCCTATTCATGTATGTGTTTAAGAGAAACATCCGTCGCGTTTGACTTTGAGCCTTTGGCAACAGTTCTGCAAAACGTGATTGGACAAAAAGGCAAAAATGAAGTCGTATTGTGTGCATTGCACATCACTTGCTGAGGCTGGGGAGACTTCTGTTCCACGGAGCTGGAAACATCAGAAAGCTATTAGGTTCCTTGCTCGTGCTTCCTAAAGTTAGGATGCCTGTTCTGTCAACTGCTTGCCCTGTGTAGCCCCCCTCATCGTCATACCACTGAAGCAGGCATGCTGTGACTGTGGTATGCTAGGAGGGGGAAAGGAAGAATACCGAAGGTCAGGAAAATCCTGGGATTCTGGAGTTGATCGCATCCTTTCTCTGTGTTTGAGTATACAGAATCAGAGTTTGCTCTTCGATTGTCATCCGTGAGGCTGATCCTTTTCTTGTCTTTCTGGCCCTGCATACTTCACGGGGGTTCCTTGACCTTGGAAGGGATCTTCCAATATAACTTTGTTTCACGTTCATGGCCATGAGGAAGCTCCCTTCTGTCTAGATCATCTTGACAATCTGGGACCCACAAACATGTGCACCACAAAAAGCTGTGAATTCCTCATGTGAGCACAGCCCATCCAGCCGCTCCTCCGCTTTGCCCCTAAGAAGATACTTGCGCCAGACTCTGCCTTCTGCGTTCTGGCTGAAATCCTGAATGCAGCTGAAGACCAAGGTTGCCAATTCAGCAGTTAAAAAAAAAAAAATCACTTGAAGGGATGCGGCTTCCTGCTCCCCCAACTTTATCAACAGCACGAAACAGGAGACAATGCATTCTCGCATGTGGCAAAGGAGAAACAATGCAAGTCAAAGTATTCTGTGGCCAGGAGAAAAATAGTCACTAAACTATCTTAGCTGTTGTCAGGAGAAAAGAGAAAGTCTACAGAAATAGCAGAGCACTATGCTGACAGATATGACCAAGGATCAGCAAGAAGATATCATGAGTAGAATGCAGAAAGGTCTTCAGTTTCCACTCTCAGAGCCCTGTTCTTAGTGAAATAGTGAAAAAGGCATAAAACAAATTACAGCTGATACGCCTTCAACTCGACATTTGGACAGTATGTGTTTGATGAAATGGAGTATTACGAAAAAGTAGCAGCAACAGCAGAAGGTGGAAAATTGAGTAAACAAACGCCTAGTCAGGGTCTACCAGCAAAAGTGCACTTGGCTCCTCCCTAAGGAAGAGGATAAATGCGTAAGGGAAATAGTAAAGCAGATCAGTCATATCCGAAATCAAAAGAAAAGATTCATAACTGAAATTTAAGCAAACCCGTAGACTTAAATCCACCTAGCAGGGCAGATAAGAGATATGTTTCTAATTTACAAAGAAGCATTTCAAATGAAAAAAATAATCTTCATGAGTTCTAGAGAGGATGTTCATAAGCTACATGCACATACACTTACAAAACAATGATAAAAGAAAAAGCTTAAATTCAAGTGCATCCAACTTAAGAACTCCTCTTATGAAGAGAAGAATAATGAAAGCGAGGGATGCACAGGCAAGCCGCAGACTGCAGCGTGACAGAAGACGGACGGGTACCCGTGTCCAGAATATAACAACTCCTGTAAACCAGCAAGACCAGGAAAGGCAACCGAACAGAGAAATGTCCACGAGACTTGAATTAGCTCTTAGCCAGCTCAGAGGATGTAGAATCAGCCTCATTTGACTTCTGTGTACACAAAACAACGGGGCACCACTATATACAAGGTTGCCCAAAATGCAAGTTTACCAGTTTCAAGTGTGAGGAGGCTGTGTTATAACAGAAACTCAAATATGTACTGGTCATAGTGGAAATTGGAGCTACTTTGGACAATTATTTGGCATTATCTACTAAAACTGAACATATACCTCCCTGCCCTAGTTATCGAGTGCTGCGATAACAGAAATAACCACACGCGGGTGGTTTTAAGGAACAGGAATGCCATTTCTCGCAGTGTAGAAGGCTACAAGCCTGAATTAAGGGCACCAGTTTTCTTCAATATCTGCTGTCTCGATAGGAACTGAAAATACAGGGAATTCAGGACAGATGAGCCCTATAGGACCAGTGGTGTGAGTGGCAAAACAGGGAGGGTAAAGGGAGAATGGGTAGGAAAGAGGGAACCGATTACATGGAACTGTGTGTGACCTCCTCCCTGGGGGACAGACATCCGAAAAGTGGATGAAGGGAGACGTCGGACAGGGCAAGATATGACAAAATACCCATTTATAAACTATCAAGGGCTCATGAGGGAGGGGGGAGCGGGGAGGGAGGGGAAAAATGAGGACCTAATGTCGGGGGTTTAAGTGGAGAGAAAATGTTTTGAGAAACGATGTACAAATGCGCTTTACACAATTGATGTGTGTATGGATTGGGATAACAGTTGTATGAGCCCCTAATAAAATGTTAAAAAAAAAAAATATCTGCTGTCTCTGTCTGCCTGCCTGCCTGTCTCCTGTTCTCTTTTATTATTAGAGATTATATCCAAATTTGTCTTACTGATCGCCACAGATTTTCTTTTCATTTGTCATATTAATATGCTAAATAATGGCAGGCTTTAATGGCCTTAGTGCTTCTTTTTTCTGATATATTAGTGAAGTATATAATATTCCGATGAATTGTATTGAATTACTATTTTTTGTTTTTAGACATGTACCCTGGTAAGTACAGATTTCCAGCTTATCTTGTCCCTGGCCTGAACTGTAGTAATATCACATCCTCACTGTTCGAAATTTATTTGGTATTGTTAACTCCCTTAATGGTGCAAAGGGCTAGCATGCCTAGCTGCTCACTGAAAGGTTAGAGGTTTGAACCCACCCAGAGATGTGTCACAAGAAAGGCTGGTGTTCTAATTCCCAAAAATCCGCCATTGGGAAAGACCTTGGGGAGCACCATTCTACCCTGACACACAAGGACTGTTTTTGAGTCATCATTGACTTTACAGCCACTGGTTACTGTCTTCTGGTCGATGACTGGTCAAGTTGAACTAACCTCTTGACTAGACATGATATGGTAATTCCTACTCTCAGCAGCCTTTCAAAAGCAATTGTGAATTGTTATCATTGGTCACTGTGAGTTATCTTGAATCGGATCCCTTCTATCTTGAAAATTAATCCCAACCACTCAAGAAGTCACAGTCATCCTTACATCATGCCCAAGTTGTCTGTGAGCTGCAAGTATAGGAAGGGAAGGTTCTATGTCTACAGATCTGCAGTCTACTGGAAAGCCTGGCCATGTATTCGGAAGTACTGAGGTTGTCTGCTCCCATAAATGTTTATAGTTTCTGAAACCCCATATAGAGTCATTGTAAGTCAGAATTGGCTCCATGTCACTGGGTTTGGCTTGGAACCCATTCAGAAAGCCTTTCATCAAAGTATGTTTCTTTTATCATAGGTTATCCGATCACTGATGCTCTTTCCAACAATCGAGCGAATGGCAGAGACACCCAAGGGCAAGTTTGTCACCCCGCTACTGTGCTGGCTTCAATATGTCCTCCGTGTGCTATGCTACATACTTTTCAAACCAATACCTGAGTTCATCAAGTCCTTCCTAGTCAGATTTATGCTTAAAGTGAACAATCTTCCAAAGGAGTGTTTTTCCTTAAGTCTATTGGAGCCATTCTGCCTTGGTAAGAATATTTTTTAATGTTTTTAATTGTTATCAAAAAGGTTTTCGAGAAGAACATCACAGAGTGCATGAATATCAAGGTATGATTTGTTAGTGTTTCTCCCCAGGAAAAGTTTAGAGCTAGGAATGAAGAGAATACAAAGCCCATGAGTGAAGTTTTGCATAAAAAATAGAAAATCCTCATCACGCTTTCATTTCGCCTACTGCTTCTGATTTCACCATTCTCGCTTCAGGATGGTGAGAAACAGCTCTGTTGATCCGATGTTTTGTCCCTGGAGGAATCCGAGATGCGTCCTGATAGGTCAAAGGGAGAACTTTGCAGAAAGACAGCCCAAGGAAACCAGCCCTAACATACCCAATGTGTGAACCGTTGTGCTCTAGTTTTCCTCTTTGAAATGTTTTGGGAGAGTTTAAATTGTGAAAATAATAAATAACGTAATATATGTATGATATGTCGTTATGATGGTGAGTGCTGTTCGTTAGGAGGACTGGTGGCACTGTAGGTTGGGTGCTGGGCTGCTTGTTACATGGCCTATGATGCAGAAGAAAGATGAGTAAGACTTTTAGATTTACAGCCTCAGAAATCCTTGACTGTGGGTCAGCAGGAACTTGCAAGGTGGTGGATTTGGTATTTGCTGGTTGTTTATCATGTGCAGGAATATTTTTGCTGTTTTACTCTTTGACTTTCAACATAATTTTAAAAATGCAATCTATCATTTTAGATGCTGCTACTTTGTACTGTATTTATAAATGATGCTCATAGTAGAATAATCATAATTTCTTAATCTACAAAATGAGGACAGTAATAACCCACACTTTAAAAGATTGTTTTTGCGAGTAAATGAAGTGATAAATGCATTTAATATATAATAGGGCTCCAATGGTAACAATAACACTTGTTGCAGAAGCTAATATGTAATGGTGCTTTGTATAAACCAGGCACGAGTCTAAGCTTTTATCTGTAGCCTCAGGACAACTAATGAGGTTTAGGTTTTTATCCCCAGTGTACATTATAGAGAAGTTGCATGATTTTCCCAAAGTCATACAGCTAGTGAGCAGTACTCAAATCTAGGCGAGTGGCCATATGCTACATTTCTTTCACCATAAGATGCTGCTTCTGTCTTTTTGCTCTAGTTGATGAGAAAGACAGGACACTTGAATAAAATTTTGCATGCTCACCTGTACGAAGAATGCATTAAGATTATGTAGAAGTGAATTTAAAGACAGATTTGAGTTCAGCCTGCACTGTTGTACAGCTCCAGATCCAATTGGAGGTATGACTTCAAATGTGTAACAAGAATTAGTCATCACTAATACAAGGCTCATTCTGTCTTCTGTATGTGTGGACTGCTTCCCCGCTCCATACTCTTCCCGGCCTCTGTGCTTTCTTAAAGCCTTAGCTAGTGGTAGGAGAAGGTAAGACAGGACAGCCATAAAAATATCCAACGGTTGAGGTTGAACCTATCCCTTAAAGCCCATCTGGTCCAACTCGCCACCTTCCTTTCTTATTGAAGATAAGGAAGAAATCACCTGGGAAGTGAAAAACAGCACTGGCTGGAAGTAAGGAACCCTTAGGTCTCATGTTGATTCTGTCCCGGACTTACCCTGTGCCCTGAGGTCAGTCCCCTCCCCTTGCTGGTTCTCAGTTGTTGACCAAATAAAGAGTTAAAGTTACTCCTTTCCCTACTGGATGGTATCAGAAATAAATCCAGAGTGCCATAACATCATCATACCCAAATTGTTCTATTTTTCCATTGAAAACAACTTGTCATACCAGGAACTAAGAAAATCTCAACTTGACTGAAAAAAACAACAACAGCAATACATGCTAACACCAATATGACAGAGATGTAAGAATTATCTGACAAGGACTTTATTGCAGCCATTAGAAAAACACCTCTAACTTTTATAAAAACATTTGAAATCAACAGGGGTGGGGGAAGAGTTAACAAACCAATTGAAGACTTAAAGAAAAACCAAATGGAAATTTTAGAACTAAAAAATAAAGTAAGTGAAATTTTTTTGAAAAACAGTGCCTGGGGTCACTAACAAAGTAGGAAAGAGCCAGTGAGCTTTGGGATAGAAGAGAAATTGCCCATCAGAGGGAAGAGGAACTTGCTGTTAGGGCCATTGTGTCTGTTCTGACTCATAGCAACAAAACCTTATTGCAACAGAATGAAACGTTGCCTGCACCTGGGCTATCCTCACACATTTTCCTATTTTGAACCCAATTATTGCTGCCATTGTGTCACTCCGTCTTGTTGAGAGTCTTCATCTTTTTAGCTGACCTGGGACTGTACCAACAATGACATCCTTCTTCAGGGATTGCTGCCTTTGATAACACGTCCACACTACTTGAAATCAAGCCTTGCCATCTAGCTTCTGAGGAGCATTCTGGCTTTACTTCTCCCATGACCGATTTGTTCTTCGGATCGCCTGTGGTATATTCCATATTCCTCGCCAACATGGACTTCAACTGATGGAGCATCAATTCGTCTCCGTCTTCCTTATTCATTGTCCAGCCTTTGAATCCATGTGGACCCATACCTTATTCCTCCAAGTGGCATTTTTACTCTTCAAAATTTAAAAAGTTCTTTTGTTAGCAGATTTGCCCAATGCAACACATCATTTGGTTTCTTAATTACTGCTTCCATGGGCATTGATGGTAGGTCCAAGTCAAATGAAGGCCTTGACAACTTCAATCTTTCTTCATCTATCATAGTATTTACTAGTGCAGTTGTAAGGCATTTATTTTCTTTACTTTGAAGTATAATCCTACTGCAGGATGGACATTGGGCTTCTCCCTCAACGCTAGAACACTTTGTTCTATTAAACTGGCATTCCATGATGCTCACCTTCCCAACACAATCACTGAAGACAAAGCGGGTGCATAAGCAAATGTGGTGAAGAAAGCT